GACTTTAATTTCAGAGGGGAAAATATATTGGAGTTCCTGAGGCTCTTTCTATAAATACCTACAATAAATGACTTTTCTATTACTTAATATTTTTAGAAGAAAATCATTTTTTTCTTCCTTGTTAAAATGCTTTTTTTATACACTGGAAGACACATCAGGAGCAGAAACCTTGAAACTACATCGAAGCCATTTTACGGCACGAGGGGATCATTTTCAGGGAAGTAAAAACTTCAAAATCTGCAACTTTAATGAACAGAGATGGGATTTGGTGGTTTAATCAATAGAGACGTTAAACCCTCACTGAAGAGATCTCGTAATATAATTTCCACATTTACTTCCTACGTGGCACTAAAATACAAGGTCTTGTTAGGCGGTTTGTGTGTATTTCTTTTGATTTCCCAAAACAAGTAGCATCTACAACCATTCCTTGTGAAATTTTGAGCAGGAAGAACAAGCAAAGGAATGAATGAACATGTGGTTTTGTGTGATGAGTCTTACCTGGAGGTAAGTAGGAACAGTTGCCCGAGGAGTTCACCACGATGTTGGTGTGGAACGTAGCATCAAACCGTTCATCTGCACTGTAGACAACAAGAATGTATGTCAGTGTTTACTGCAACCAAAGTACAGCTTCTGTGGAAATCACCTTAAAGAGCCAATCATATGCTTGTTTTAATTGTTTTTCATCTTTCAGTGCATTCTAGTTTTTTTTTGTGTGTGCATGTAAAAAGACTACCAACTTAGAAAGCTTAAGGTCCACGTGACATTAGTTATTCTGTGCCATAAAAAGCTCCGTACCTGCTTGAAACACCGTATTTGAAGCCCAGGCTCTTCTCTTGTTGCTCATCTACATCACCATGTAACACATTTGCACTAATTCTCAAACAGACAATGAGCAGCTTTGTCATCTTGCCAGAGTCACGTCTGCTCGAGGCTAATTGTTCTGGAGTTGCCTTGCTTTGGTCTAACCAATCAGCTGGCTTCTCTCACAGGTGGAATTAAAGAGACAGGCGCTAAAACTGAGCTTTTCTGAGAGCGGTTAGGAAGAAATGCTGCAGCCGAGTACAGCATGAGAAAAACATGGGGCTTTTTTGAGCATTAAAGGATGCAAACATCTGCTGGTACACCCTCCAAGTAAAATTATAAACCTGTGAATGTGCATAATGTGGACTCTTTAATAAATTCATACACTGATGTGACCTTTGCAAGAACTGCTGAGGATACAGCATAAATCTAAGCTGAGGCACAAACAGCGAGGAGAACCGATGTGGTGGGAAAATACTAATATTTCTCCAAGTTATTACCGCTGCAGGTGCACAGCGCACGAGGAGTCACATCTGATACAACAATTCCCAGGAGATGGTTATTCAGTGGTTACCCTCATCCTCCCCTGCTACCCACAACTCACTCCCTGTAAATGAACTCCCAGGAGGTTGAGGCACAGTTGAGCTGAAGTTGAAAAAAAAAAAAAGAAACAGGAGAAAAAACTTGCAGCGATTCAGAGAGTCTCGATTCAAGGACTGACTGTGCGGGACAATGACAAATGAAATACAGTGTTCTTCCCCTCATTAGTAGATGGGAGAGCAGAGTGCCTTTAATGCGGTTTGTGCAGATCTTCTAAAGATTGATTAATGGTGATCTCTATAGTATTTTCCATTAGGGACATATAATAAAATGCACTTTCTCCTATCTTTTTTTTTTTCTTTAACTTTATCCATTTGTCTGAATGATTTATTGCTCTGCGCTGCATACACTTGAAGTGCAGAGCACCACTAACCTTGAATGTTTCCGTCTGAAAACCAGCTTCACCTAACAGGATGTCTGTGCAGATACTCAGCCATCCAGCTCGAGGTAATCCTGAGTGCTTCAGTAGGCGGCAGCTGGACTTCTTTTTGGTTCTTGGGGACCCAAAAGGAAGTTTGCCTTCTACTGAAGCACTTAGAGAAGGATCGGTAGCATCAGTGTTGTTTAACAAGAAAAGCCTAATTTATTCGAGCATCTGTGTTCAGCCAATCACTGGTGCTCAACTTTAACAAAGAAATAAATTCCCTTTATGTACACTGACAGTCCAAGTTTGTACCAAACATTAATGCTCAGTTTGGAAAAGTTTTTGTTCCACATGGAATGAGGTTGAACCCCTTAAGCCCTCGGCTATTTTTTGAAATTTCCAGCTGAAGAAACATCCCCCATATTCAGTCAGTAACAGCTGCAAAACGTGATGCCAAAAAAATGCACAACCCTGGGCTCCGTGGATAAGAAGCACTTTGGAGAATTCTGAAATACAGTAAGTCTACTTAACCTTATCTTCAGATTCAAAAACTCCAGCAAAAATTGGCATTTTTACTTCCGCTGGATCAAAACTGAAAGTTAGAGGGTAAATAACAGCTTCAAACCAAAGAGTCAACAACATTAAAGCTTCTCTAAAACTTCACCAAATTCGATGCAACAGCGATTAAAACACAACAAACGCTCCTAATAACTTAGTCATAGCAGAAACAAAATAAATATGCTATGCTTGGCAACCTTCGAAAAATGATGCTGGCTGCATTTTTATAGCAGATACAGTCTGGTCACAGCGCAGGGACATGCAGGGGGGAAGTTTGTTATGTGAGGTTTATCTATCTTTCATTTTCTGCTTGTTAGTCTCTCTCAGCAAGATATTCTGAATAGGTCCTGTGGCAACGTGGGGTCTGATTCTTTCCCACCTCATGAAACAAGAGCAGAAGCCCGACTAGTGCAGCATATTCTGACATGGCGCCGACCGGATGTACATGTTTTATTTCATCCATTCTGTCATGAGAGAAATTTGTATCCTATTTGGAATTTATTTTAAAGGAAATGAAGCAGATGTCGTCCTTTTCATGCTCTTATGTGTATGCTCTTATCTCTTCATTAATGCTAGTGCACAGGATTTAAATGCTATATGAGACATGAAAACATGTTTGTTGCAACCAACAATAAAAAAAAACATTCATCAAGGATTCATACAACGACCTTCATGCAAAAACATTTTCGCTGTTGTATCCTGAGCCTGTTTTACTTCATACCTGGATATTAGAAAGAAAAAAAAAAGTAATAAATCGCTTGTTTCATCTTATTGAATTCCACCTGCTCTTGATCAGTTGCAGAACCCACCAGCCTGTCCATTTCACTTCACTTCGGAAAGTTTCGTTCCCCAAAAGTGTCTCCCAGGAGACGAAAGAAAAAGTTCAGATCAAAAAGCTACAAGTCAGAGAGCAGGAGATCAAAACAGGCCAAATTTAGCCATGTCAAAAGTGGGATTAGAGGACCGAAAAAGGACAAGAAGTTGGAGGCAGCAGAACATCTTTCAAGCAAAGCAGCTCTTCAATACTCAAGTTGAAAGTTTAATTATTCCAATTTTAATGTCCTCTGAATTATGTAAAGTATTTAAAATGTAGCATGTTTCTACAAAAAATCCCATCTTTGATATTTAACGTATCACAACAGTGTGATTGTAGCAACTTTGTGAAACACATCATCCCTCCGAGATCGCTTCATTATATTGTGCAGTACACGGTGAACGCATGCTGAGCCTGACACCATGCTGGTCCAATTACAGAGCAGCACCCCGCAGATGTGTCCGTACAAAGCCTACCTGTTATACAGCAGAATGTCCGGCTTCCAAATGAGATTGTCGGGAAATCTGACATTGGCCACACCTGGATAGTCCGCTGGATTCCACTGGAGGTAACTGTCATGCCAGTACTGAGGGATGCAAAAACATGATGAGCTGCACATCCGTTAAAGCTGTCCCCTTTTTAACAGAAACTTCAGCAGTTTTTCTTATGGCAGTTATGAGTAAACTTAAATGTATTTGACAGCAGCTGTGGGGAACATCATGCAGCGATGTGCTACAAGAACTGAGTCTCATCTCTGCCAAGTTTCAGAGGCATGTTTGGGGGGAAATAAGACTTTTGATTATAAATTTAGTCGCTGAGCATATTTAACGAGCCCCTCTGGTGAAAATCAAGCTTTTACCTTGTTAACAAGTCCATATGGTGATTTTTATATGACTCCGAGACATCACGGGTAAAAATAAGTCGTCAGTGTCGCTTTAAAAGAAATCTAAAAAACAAATCCCCTTAACTCTGTATCATTGTTCTTCTTCAGAATTGGTTTCCAGCTACACATGGCTGAATTACTGCAACATTACAATTTGCCATCTTGTAGTAAATAGTAGCTTTGTAGTGTTTCAACAGAGTCCTAAGTGAGCTGGTGTGCTCCAGCTGCTACAAGGCAAAGGACTTTAACATCAAAACCCACCTGCAGGTTCAGAATAAATGGTATCTTTTAAACAAAACAAAAAAAAAGTAAATTACAACATTTATCAGAGAAAAAAACTATGAAAACAGAAGGAATCGTCTTAAGTTTTCAGCAGTTGTTGCGATGTTTTACTAATTTAAGATATCTAAATCTAAGCTAAGAATCATGATATTGTATCTAAATCACTTTATTCTACATGGCTCATGGAAAAAATCAGCCAAAATAAACAGTTTGTACTCAATTCTGGGAAAAAATAATATAAATTCTGCACTTGAGTGTCCCGGTCGTGACCAGCTGTCACTATGTGGCTGAACAGAGCAGAGAGGAAACAAGTATGGAAAGAAATTAGAGCGACTGAGGTGCAAAATAAGACATACTTGACCAACAACATTAACACAACATAGCTCCACAATGGTACAGAGAGGAGCAAGTTGTTGGAAGATACAGTCAGTCATCTTTCGAGTGCATTGTACTGTGAAAAACACAGACTGTTGAGATTGTAAAAATGTAAATGGTTTTAAATCTATAGCACCACCATTTCTATCCCGTATTAGTAACACCTGGGGGCACTTGGAAAATGTTGTGGATTCCAGGGTATTTCAAGGTTTGTAAAACACATGATCAAAGATTTTTAATACCTTTGTTATACTACACAAAAGATGTTCTCTGGCAGCAGCCTTTTATCAATAGCAGGAGCCAGAACCAGAACCAGAACCCACGGTGAGGCAGCATTTAGCCACTACAGCCCCCACCTGTGGAACAGCCTGCCGGAGAGGACTGTAGAGACTGTCGATATTTTTAAAAGAAGGTTAAAGACGCATCTTTTTAATGAGGCTTTTAACTTACCTTTTAAATTCTTTACGTTCTTGTCAATTATTTATTTATTGTGTTATGTATTTTACTTCTATTAATTTTCATTTTGTCTTACAAAGGGCCTTTTATACTTTAAAGTTTTCAGTTTTTAATTAAAAAGTTTCATTAGGGCGGTCCTCCACACTGGGGGCGTTGTCCCTTCAGCCCGGCTGATTGGGGGGCTCCCCATCTCATTGTGGGGGTCCCCTTTTCTGTCGGGGTCAGGGGGGTCTGGGTGCCGGCGCCCCCAGTGGTCATAGTCTGTGACTCCCCCCGGTGTGGATGACCCCAATGGTGGTTTTTTCCACAAGCCTCAGTGCCATGCCAGGTGGTGAGAGTGTGTGTGCATGTGTGAGTGTGTGTCAGTGTGTGTGTATGTGTGTGTGTGTGTGTATGTGTGCGTAGCCATATGTGCATGTGTATGCATGGAGGGTGGGAGGGATGGGCTTTCTTGTCTTTTTTTTCTTTTTTCTTCCTTTGACAATGTTTTTAATGCTGTAAAGCACTTTGCGTTGCTCTGTGTATGAAATGTGCTCTATAAATAAAGTTTGATTTGAAGTTTGATTTGATTCTGAGTTCTCCCGACTTCTAGTCATGGTTGTGCTGTTTCCATAGAGATGCAGGACTTTATATTGCAGTGAGAAATGAGTCCACAGTGGGTTAAAATGTGACAGGAGCAAAAAAACAAAACATGCAGGAAATGATTGGATTTCATTTCATGGAAAAGCATACATATATAGCTACATAAAGACTATGTTTTTAAACCAATGACCAGAGAGAAATTAAAAATTTGACTAAATACTTATCGTCAAGGGAAAGTCAGTCTAATTATTAGAATTAGACATGAATGTGTGCAGGAAACGTCATGGCCATGTTGTAGAGACATTTCAGTCAATAAAGTCAAACAAAATGACTATTCTGCCGTCATTTTGAATTGCAAAAATGTTTCACTACAAGTACTCACTAAAAAATGTGCATGAATTTCAGAATATATTAGAATATCCTCATTTGGCTTTAATGACAGCATGCAGTCGAGTGAGTTTGGACTCAAAGTTTGTGCAAACCTTGGTATTTCAGTCCAGATAAAAGTGGGAGACGGACAGTCTGACCTTTCCGTCCACTGAGCCGTGCTTCTAGCATCGCTAAGAGGCCGCGCTACCTATCGTCAACAACACGCTGAGAGGTGTGTTTGATTACTTCCACATGGCCGAGCTCCGAGTTTAAAAGTCAAGATGCAAAACAAAAAATAACAGTGACTCCAGTATTACAGAGAACCATTCTGTCAAAACAAACTCTGTGTTTGCTGATTATCCTTATTATTTAAAGAAAAACTCCACCAATTCTGTAAATAAAAACACTTGCAGAAAGTCGAATGTTTTACCATATGTGACCTCTTTGAAACTGAAAGGTCCACAAAAATGTGTCACGACTTCTGCTGATTTGCTGTTCAGTATAGCAACATGGTGGAACTGTGTAGCCTCTTTAACACGTAATAAAGTCAATAGATGGAAATGAACTTAAAGCGTTGACTCTGCCTCACTTACAGCCATGTTGATCGATGAGCACTCTGCCTGTGAAGTTAATTAAGAAATGAAAATATTGCCTTGATGTTTTTTTTCTTGATTAAATTACTTTTCATACTAAATTTTCTAATCAAATCTATGATTCACTTTTAATTACTTCAGACCATCGGGTTCAAATAATGGCTGTCACAAGGAACAATAAAGGTCAGTGGCTAATAAAGAAAGAGGAAAACACGCTGAAGAAATGATAGACTCCTGTGCAGCTCACATGATAAACCTCTTTTCAACAGAAATCTCATTCACTAATTCCAATATTTCCCTCCGCTTCTGGCCATTAGCAAGCTTAAAATGCTCCTCAGTAGTGTGTAATTGCAGCCGCTTAGCTTCGCTGAACAAAGTACGAGCATAAAGTCTAAAGCCAAAACTGAAGCCACTCATTATTTATGTCATTATGTGCTAATTGTCGATGCTTTTATAATTTGTTCATTCCAACACTATCCGGAGGCGATTAGATTCTTCTCAAAGGGTTGATGTACAACAGAGGCTAGTGTGCAATAGCGCTTAAATTTCAAATGATTCAACAGCTGCATTGTAACTGCATGAGTTTTGAGATGAACAGCAGGGTATTTATGTAAAATTTTTAAAAGTTTAAATTTACTACATTTAAAATAAAGGCCCGCAATAGGAACTCAATGCAAGAAAAGTCAGCACACATTTCATTTCTGAGATATAAATTCATCCACCTAAACTCAGTCCTCCTTGGCATGCAGGATACCAGATGCATGGACAGATGTTTCACCATTCTTCAGGGACTATTTTTTCCAGCTGCTGAAGGGGCTGCGTTGCTCTTTTTTTCCTTTAAAAATACCCCAAAGGTATTCTGTTGGGTTCGTGTTAGGCAACACACTTGGCCAGATCACAGTGTTTTTTTGTTTTTTTTTCTTTTAAAAACTCCCGTGTGATTTTGGCTGTGTGCTTTGGATCGTTAGTGCTGGAATATTCCTCTCCGGCCGACTGGGAGTCATCTTGTCAGCCAGTATTTTTGGTGCATTCACAGGCAGTCATGGTGTCATCTATAAATGTCATCTTCCCAACACCTTACGCCACCTATATCTTCACACTTCCACCTTTACTGTTAGGACTATGCATGCACTGTGATAGTCCTGTATAGGTTCATGCCAAACACCATCTGAGCCAAGCAGGTATATCTTGGTCTCATCTGACCAAAGAATGTGCTTCCAACATTCATCAGGCCTTTTTTCTATCGTAAAACAAGCAAGGGGTTTTAGTCTCGAACACTCCATAAACTCCACAAAGGTTAACGTCATACACTGTGCTTCACGCTGCCTGAACTGTCATAGAAACTCTTATTTCGATTGGTCACCCCTTGTGCCAAATCTGAAACATCAGCCCATCTGCTTTTCAGAGCTAGATTGTGCAAGTAGGGCACTCTGTGTGGCATCATTTTAGAAGGACGGCCATTTCTTAGTGGTGCTATGGTTTGTTCTATACCTCCTGATTACTGCTGCAACTGTGTTTCCAATGATTTTTAGTTGGTCTCTGAACTTCCTGTATCCTATTTTTTGTAAAGTTTCACAATCAGATTTTTCAGCTCAGCTAGTAATTTATTTCTATGCAGGTAGACGCAGCCCATAAGTCCAGAACTGAGAAAGTCTGAGTGTTCACAGGTCTTTTTTTTTTTTTACCAATGTTCATTCAATTAAGCTAATTGGAAATCACAGGTGTACTCAATTTAGTTGTATTTTGTGTTTCCGTGATCACTGGTGTATTCACTTTTATTGCATTGAATTTCTACTTTGGGGCTTAACTTTTATTGTATCCTCTATAGCTCAAAGTGGCTATTAGCGATGAATGCATTTTGAGGACATTTAAACGTCTTTTTTTTTTGGATTCCATACAAGTAGCCTGAGCCAAACAAATGGTAGATCACGCTAGAAGACATTAAACACTGTGGATGCTGCCCGCTCTGTCTTGTGTTTGAGAGCCAAAGTCGATCTCGCTGGGTGTGGAAGTGAGAGAGAGACTGAGCAAGATTACTGCTGCGATTCCAAAGGATGATTTAAAACAGACCAAGCAGCCTTGGTACAGCTTGCTGACGATGCAGCAGCAGGGAACTAGTGTCACATAATGGACAAGGTGCAATAAAGCATCTGTGTTCATACACTTCACCTCTCTGCATGAAGGAGAAAAGGATACACTGCTGGTGTGGGAAATGAAAAGGAGAAGACTGGGAACCACTAACACATTTCATGCACTATACTGGTAATTACTTACATTTGTCCTGATGCCTAAACTAAATGCCAAGTTAGACACCAAAATCAAATTTAGAGTTCAACACTTATGGGAAAATGTTCACTCACTTAGATGAATGAGTTAGATGAAAGGCCTGATACAACTTTAATATTTGTTCAGACAGCAGCTAGTTAATTAAGCTTCGGATGAATATTGGAAACAGCAGGAAGCTAGCCGTCCTCTGCAGCCTCTCAATCCCAAGGTACATACCCTGCTTTAATGCCTACTTTACATTAAATAGAGCCATAAATTACAAAATGAACATCATGCTGCATTGAAGGAGACTTGAAACTAGCAATTGAGACCATGAACTCATTAGATAAATGTTTGATGAAGTGATAAATCAAGTGAGAAGTATGGTTATTTGCTCATAGTCTTCTATAAAATCAGACTTGTTCAGAGGAGTCGCCCTCTGCTGGTGGTTTGACAGAATGCATTGCTTCAAAGCCCTTTCATGTTGGTTTCAACTTCCACACCCGCAGGCTACATCCATCTTTTATATACATCTGTGGTTGCAAACAGTGTCAGTGCATGCTCAGATAGACTCAGTATCTTGTGATCATGAACAGGATATTAGAAATTGGATTTGGATTGATTTATTTTTAACATTTGTAGCATCTAACTGCAACTATAAAGTTATGCTTTTTTTTTTTTTTTACTAGGATTTTTAGATACGTTATAAAGGGAAAAGTCTTACCAGCTGCAGCCAAATGTTGGTTGTTAAAACCTGGTTCTTCTCATCCTGTTGGAAAAACACAATATTCATTTTTGCTGTGTGTGCTGTATTTATTTTTCTCTCAGTTAATGTTTCATAAAGGAGAGAAAATACAACATAGATAATTTAAAAGTCCACTGTAGCTTCACCCCTCAAGGCTGTGGGAGATGGAGAAAAAAACTGGCTGTTGAGTAGAAACACTTCCAACTATTCTTTTCAGTCTTTTATTTTACTGATTGGTTTGATGGCTCAGGGAGCTTCCACAAAGAAAAAGCTTGTTGCAGAGTCCTTCATCATTTGTACTGAAGATTTCTGCAGCTATCACATTTTTTAACTTTAGGACATCTGAACAGATGTGAACGATTCAAAATGTATTCATGAGCATAAAAGACAATTGAAACACTTGATCAAATTAAGTGTCCTTGTTAAGACGTGCCAGTATTGACTTTACCCGTATTGGAAAAAGGCAATATTCTTCCACATGAGAATTGATTTTAGCTGCTAAATGAGAAGCCAGGAACAACATTTGCAGCAATTTATAACTCATTATCTAAACAAGCGCGGGTTCTAACTGCACAGCTCTGTACAGGGTATTCAGTATGCATGCTATGTGTGAGGAGCAATAGTTCACGCACCACATCCATGATCTGCCTGAGGGTGAGGCCAAAGTTAACGGTGAGAGTCTGGGAGTCATTGGCGACGGGTCTCTCCAGCGGGTTGTAGTTTGTCATCAGGTCTTTGTACAGTCTGCGCTGGTTTGGACCTTGATGAGAAACTACAGAAGACAGAGCAACATTAGCACACCAAACATTCCTCAGCGCGTGAATTCATTTTCAGTTTTGTCATCAAACTTGAAAATTCTGTATCACATACAATTGGTTTTATAAATTGAACGGAATGATTGAGACACCACTAGTTCCTTTGACAACCAATTTCTATTGCAGTAAACTAAAAAAGGAAAAAAAAGCAGTTTGTTTTGAACAAAGAGATAAAGAGCTGAGTGAAGCTGTGATGACCGTGATACTGAACAGACATTGACAACAGATATCTCAGTACTGAACTTTTTCATGATTGAGTGATTAATAACTTGGTACTTCTAAATGGTAAATGTTCTGCACTTATAGCGCTTTTATCCAAAGTGCTTTACAATGTGTTTCTCATACACACATACACCAATGGCGACAGAGCTGCCATGCAAGGTGCTGCCTGCCATCAGGTTCAGTGTCTTGCCCAAGGACACTTCGACTGTGGAGGGGCCGGGGATCGAACCGCCACCCATATGATCAGAGGACAACCCGCTATACCACCTGAGCCACAGCTGCCTCTGTCTCTATCTCTATCTTCTATATATCTCTGTATAGAATCTATATTACAGCAGTGAACTTATTTGATCAGTTAAAGCGACCTCTGGGAATCTGTGGGCAAGCGACACTGCATTTATACACAATTAGGAACACTATTATAAAGCAGCAATCTCCAGGCTGAAAAATGCTGAAAATGAACAAGTGTTAAAAGTGCAGTTCCTTGAACGATCACTTGGGGTGGACTCCAAAAGTGAGTCAGTTCCCTTCAACCTCCATGTAAAAATGCCCAACTTTACAGCAGAAATAAACATGTTCACAGTCTGGTACAAAATATATTTTTGGTTAGCTTACTTTACATTTATCACAACTTTTTAAGAAGTGATTTTTTGTTTTAATATAACTCACCCACTTAAATTGTATTTAGGCGTTAAAATTATGCATAATCTGAGGCGTAGCCACTTTAGATGCCGTCACAGGACATACCATGCTCTGCTTTAGCTCCAGTCGGGCTTCACCTCTTTGCTTATTTTTGGATTAGCTGGGCGTGAGGCGAAGTCGAGGATGGCCAGAGCAACCACACTGAACTTCAAAATCATTATTTGGAAAAACTATGGAGGACATCACAGACAGTTGTGGTTATGTCACATACCGTCTATTTCCCCAAAGCTGCTGCCAAAAATATGAGCTTTATGCATTAGGCTACATGCTAGCATTAAGCAAGTGATATTTACCAGGTTCTGCTGATCTCCACAAAACACAAAGTACATGATTAGTCATGCATGTGTTTGATCATAAAACTAAGTTGGGCAAACTGAAATAGCAGCCTGATGATGGCTTGATGGGAAACGAGGGGAACAAAGTGATTAGAAACTCTGTATCTTTCAGGCATCTTGAATATCTTCAGCAAAGTTTATGGCAATGCCCCCAGTAGCTGTCAACACGTACACACATTAGCCAACTCATTAAAACCCCTGACAGGTGAAGAGAATAATATTGATTAACTCGTTACAGTACGATGCTCTGCTGAGAAACCTTGGGTCCTGTCATTCATGTGGATGTTGCTTTGGCTCGGCACACCCACTCAGACATTGTTGCAGACCAAGCACACCTCCCCATGGCAACAGGATCGCACGTCGTGGCCTCATGCAGCACGAATATGTGCACAGATTTGCAGGGTAATGTATGCAACTAACTGTAGACTGGTCTGATAAACTGGACCTTGACCAGCATTGTCCATCCTTGAGCCATAACGCTGTCAAAGCTGAAAATGATTATGCAAATTATCACGTTGTTTGGCACTGGAAGTGAAGTTTTCTCAAATTCAAGGAGATTAATGCAACTAATTTAATTTGAGTCGACCTCTTCACTTTCCTCCTATCTCTCATATCATCCATTTGCATGAGTTGATGGCTCATTATCACACATCTTCCCATTTTTTTTGCCAAATTCTCTGTGTTGCTCATCTTGCAGGTCCCCACTGCCACTCCCTGATGGAGCAGTTTTAGACGCTGAGAGCTGCTCGTCCACCTCCAGCTTGGACCGTGTTGGTTATACCGTGTCGGCACTAAACTGTCCCACTTTAAAACGAGTTTCACTTAATGTATGTAAAGTATGAAGGTTCGTTAGTGCCAGCGTAAAAACATCCAACAATATCTAGGGCAGACAAGGCAGTCTTCCAAACACAATATCTGGACTTGAATCATCTCACGGCGCAATCTCAAATCAGATCTCCCTCTGATTTTAACACACTCTCGTTTCCCCCCCTTGAGTTATGGAGCGTTGTTGGCAGCATCTCCTCACTTCGCTAATGGCCTTAGCCCAATTATCCGAAACCACCTATGAGAAGCACATTATCCTGATGATTTGGCAGAGAGTGTGTGTTGTCTGTAGGCATCTCCCCATTCCTCTGTTCTCTGTTGCGTCCAGTTTTTGGATAAAAAGGACTGAAAGATTAGCTGAAAGCTCGTCTTTGTCCACGGCCAAATCCCCTGTGGAGATTTCCCCTCCTGCTCCCACCATAATCAAATTTCACTGAGGATCAGCGAGATGACATTAATGTGTGTCATTGTCCTGAGATGTTTCTGGAATACACGCCAGCACATTTCTGGACTTCAGACCACACAGGGACCATTTCTGATATGATGCCAGTATGCGGCTGGAAAACAGCTCGGAGCCTTAAAAGAGAGACGAGAATTCAACCTCTTAATCAAATTTAACAGCCTTTGTATTGTCAGAGAGATGGACAACGGCTTTAACAACCGCAGACATGTGCTCAGACATGTGCAAACGCTAACAAGTCGTCTCTCCATCTGCCTCTTTATACTTCACTCCTGGGGAAGCCTCCATTAACTAGTGCCCGTAAAGCGCTGACTGAAAAGCCTCCGTCAGTGATTACGGCTGAATGAATTGCCTCAATCAAAATGTTCAAAATGCAGAGCAGATCTGAGTAAAACTGATGAGACACAGCATGTGGTGAAGGTCTCCTGAACTAATTTCCATTTAAAGATCAGGAGTGTTTTTTTTAGCAGAGTTTGCAACATTTGCATGGGTCGACTTGTGTCCGTCTGGACCGAGCACAGACAGGATGTGAAGCTCATACGTGTTGCGAAATAGCGTGAAGGGCACAAGAGGAATAGTGTTACTTTTGTTGCAGAACAGAAACTTTTTGTTGAGGCAGTCATTACAATAAAGCTCTTTAGAACTTTTATGTCCATCAGTCACATTCACACAGTTGTTTGCAGATTTCTGTCTGCAAGTCTCAAATCAAATCAGGAGAAACCCCCAAAGAGCTGCAGTGGAAGTTACAAGAAGTTCAGCGCTGACAGAAAAACACTGCACACAAAACATGACAACACATAAAAAACTGTTTCAATCATTGCACGCTGCAAATGGGATCTTGCAGAACACATAAATGCAGATTTTAAATAAATTATTGCACTACAATCACAACAAAAGCAGCAAATCATGATGCTTTTGTGGCTGCAAACTTACATCAAATGCAAATGTTGTCATTTAAGCACATGTAGCCTTTTGTTTTATTGCAAACCGTGGGTGTTTGACAGCTTTATGGATTTTTTTTCTAAAGACACTAAAGGTGTGAACAAGGATGAGTCCAGCAGTGCAAGAAAAGACAATCACACTCAGATAACTCCCTCCAATATTATACTTTCTATTAGTTAACAGGTAAAATTACTGGTTGATTAAAATTGCATTAAAGTAATCTTATGTTGCAAAAAAAAAACGTGCGTTTGGCACAACAGGTATGTCCTGGTGATTAGGAGGCAGAGCGCAGCAGCTCACATGAAGAGCCAAAGAAAAAAGACGAATCTCCTGACTGATGAAATAATAAATAATAATAATATTATTAAATCTCTCCGGTGTGTGAGTTAATTAAGCCAGAATGCAGAATTCCTACCTTTCACTGTGCAGGCGGCGGCTGCAACAAAAAGCAGAAAATTCAGCAAGTCCATGTTGAACGGAGCGAGGAGTGAAAGAAAGCGGAGAGATTCCTCAGATTATCGCTGAACCTGATCGTGTGGGTGGTGGATGGGTGGAGGGTGGTGGGTGGGGGGCCCGTGGCGGTAATAACTCCTCCTCCTGATGATCGGCTGCAGTTTGGCAGGACATCGATGAGATGTGGAGCACCAGAAGTCCCACCAGTGACCATGATGTGGCTTCCTGACACTAACAGAGTGACACCTGAGAGTGTGAGAAAAGTGATGAATTGCTATTGTGCAAAACTTTGGCTTTCATCTCTATAGACTGCAGCTAAATATACATATTTAGTCATTGTGAAACATATAATTGAATAATATCACGACAAAAAAAGGGGGTAACTCTGGACAACAATCTGCACATCTGCTTGTCAGCAGCATCATCTCTTGACTTTTTACATGCATGTTCACAGCAGCTTGTCTCGTTTATCAGTGTGTGACTGAAAGGTAATGCTCTAGTTTGCTAAGAAAGTTGTGCAGGATCAAACTGAGCTTAAACAAGAGGACATCTGCTGGTCATTGAACACCATTACAGTTGGATTATGCAGCTGCAGTTTCTTTATTAGACTATTTTTGCAATCAATGCACATGTATTTTATTCTTTATAAATAAAATGTGTTTGCATCAGTAACAGTCAGACTATTGTTTTGGTTCAATCTCTTCAGTCTCATTTAAAAATACTCTTTAATTATAATTTCCTATTGTTATTTTTATATCAGCAATAAACAACATAAACAAGCAAAACTGGATTGGTTGGATGCACCACACACCCATATGGTCACATGGCCAGCATAGGAACAAATACACAACCAATCCCAGAGTACCAGAAGCATAAAGCAGCAACAACCAAAGTTCAACTCTTGACTACGGCACATTTGTTCTGTGTCAGTCCTTTTTGTTTTTCCCTATGTTTCATGTCCATCTCTATACTGATCATCAAAAAAAGCAAAATACCATTTTAAAAAAATACTCTTTGGCTCCAATACACACAGGCAAATATATATAGTGCTCATGAGAAGTATTTACGTGCCCCTCTTCCATGGAAGTTTTCCCTTTTTACTGCTTTTCAACACTGACTAGTGAGAGAGGCCTTCAAGACACCGATGACCCCTCTGAAGGAGTTACAAGCTTCAGATAAGAGAGAACAACTGTTGTCTTCACTGGTCAAAGCTTTATGGAAGCATAACAAAAAGAAAACCACTGCTGAAAAATCTTATATTAAATCTTAACTAGAGTTGGCCAGAAGGCATGAGGGAGGCTATGACATCAACTGGAAGAAGGTTTTGTTGGTCTGATGAGACCAAAATTTTTGCTTTTTGGGTGATCAGACTAGACATTATGTTTGGCGGACATTAAACACTGCACATCATCACAAACACACTATCCTCTCTATGAAGCATGGAGGTGGCAGCATCATGATGTGGGGATGCTTCTCGACAGCAGGCCCTGAAAAGGCTTGTAGAGAAAGAGGGTAAGATGGATGCAGCAAAGTATAGAGCAATCCTGGATGACAACTGGATGTAGTCTGCAAGAGAACTGTGGTTTGGGTGGAGATTTTTATATATATATATATTTTACAGCAAAACAATGACCTTAAACACACAGCCAAAGCTACAAATAAATGCTTTAAAGACAGCAAGGTAAATGTTCTGGAGTCAGAGTCCAGACCTCAATCCAATTAAGAATTTGTGGCTTTGAAAAGAGCTGTTCACTCAAGCTCCCCGTGCAACCTGACGGACCTTGAGCAGAAAGAAAAATGGGATAAAATTACAGTGTCCAGATGTTCAGGCCGACTGAGACCTATTCACACAGAATCAATGCTGTAATTGGGGCCAAAGGTGCATCTACTAAATGCTGAGTTGAAGGGTTGGATATATATGTGCGTATGCCTTATTTTCTTTGGAAACTCAATACCATGATTCTATGTCACAAAGCAATGAAAGGAGAGAATGTCCGTGTTAACAGCCTCCAACAGTCATATATAAACAGTACATCAATTTCAAAGCTCACACTTTTGTTTTGCAATGGCAACTCAAACATGGCGATTTCTCTGACATGGAGATAACTACTCTACGGCTCCTACTGTGTGCACACACAGGAAAAATGTGTTTTTACAATGAGTACATTCATTTCAAAACTCAATTTTCTCACAGGTGCAATGCACAGATGGTAAACTGTGCATATACAGTTTTACCCTCAACTAACACCAGCATGAAGGTAAATGTTATTTAGCCGCTAATGTGTTTGCTTTGTGAAGTGGCTGCTATTGACACATGCCTCCTTTCATTTATTGGCACTATAAATTCTGCTACAGACAGTTGAAAAAGTGTTGATTAAAAGCTAGGTTGGAGAGCTGTATGCGATCTGCATGTCAAATAATATGTTTCATCAGCCCGCGACCGAGATTGAAGCAGTCATCAGGATAATTACAATGCACATCACATATCACTGTGCTTTTATCGCTCTTACAGAGAGCTTTGTCTAATTAAATGTACACACAAGTGCAAATGCTCTATGGACCTCACTCCGACTTTGTTCCATCATTCTATTGTGAGCTACAAACATGACAAATAATGGCAGGTAAGGAGCGCGCACGCCTCGCCGCATCTGTGTGACGCTGATATTTAACAACTTAAATGAAATTGCAGCTGAGGTGTGACAGCAAATTTTTATTCTAAACCCAAAGTTTGTCATTTATTCATATGCTGATCACCCGGTCATTCATCTTTCAGTAAATAGATGCTCATGCATTTTGTGTAATGGTTTAACCACTGGTTCCCCAGCCTACAGTGTGTGTGCTGAACAATGTGAGTGTTGTCCACAGAGAGGCCACACAAGGAGGGTCCTGGTCCTTACAAGGAGCTGTTTTTCTTTCAACAGATGTTCTCTGCCCACATGGAGAAGAATTCCTATAGGTTTAAGGCTTGAATGGTGTAAAACTGACCAATGGAATTTAGTTACCTCGTCTCATGTCAGCTAAGAAAAGCTGTGTTGTTGCTCTTTGAAACATCTGGTGAAATGTTTACTGACTGTCTCCACTCTGTGCAATACAAACCAACAACTGGAGAGTTTCGTGTTTAAGAGCTACAGGCAGCTTGACAAAGTCTTGTCAGCAACAAGGATTTACAGCCGGTTTCAATGCCGGTGTAGTTCTACTAATTCACCAACATCTGCACTGTTAATGGCTTTTATGGATGTAACTCTTTTCAAGTATGTGCAGGTGTTTACAGAATTACTGAAGTCTCCAGTATATGGAAAATCTGTTTCACCACACAGCATGGCTCATATTTGAACATGCTAGAAGCTGGATTTGGCCTTGTTTCTGATAAGCAGGTGGTTGTGAGTGGGGAATTAGAGAGATGCTTCATCAAGTTTGGCTCCTTCCAGACGACAAGACGCTTCTCAGGTTTTTGTGACGTGACATGCAGCACAATGAGACTCCATCTGTCTATGAATGGAGAGTGCTCCCATTTGTCACCACATGCAGCCATACTGCTGAACATAAGCTGTCCAGAGACATGTGCAGGATCACATTGAGGGGAATGAGGATGGAGTGGACACCGTCCTCGGTTCATTCCACGTACACAATTGCCTTACATCACTTTGCTGCTCCAATGAAGCAAAGCGTCTTCTTCTGAGGATAAGGGCTCTGTTATCCTCTGCTAGATTTGAAATAAGGCAATGGGATAGTAACTTCCCATGTGTTGGTGACCACTTACCAGCAGCTGCTAGTTCTGACAGTGCTGAATCCAAATCCTAAAGAGGGCACAGTTGGGCTAAGCTGGCGCTGTGTTTCTGACATCTTGAACTGTAGATCCACTTCCTTCCAAACCCTAACAATGAGAAATGTGCACAAAGTGTTGGATTCACATCTCTGTCACATCATGTAAAGACGGATGAGCCCTACATGACATCACCTAAACGTTCCTTGAACAGTAGCGTTAAAGGTCAAGGTGGCGGCTCTTTCCATTACCATTTTGCCGCTATCTGACTCCTCCCAACTAATTCTAAAAATGGAGCAGGAGTAGAACTGAGGCCACGTGAACATCACCAGCTTGTCACTCAAAGCAGCTTTGTCCTCAGTTATTGCACCGGGTTGTAAAAATGTTAATTTCTGCTGTGAATTTAGGCATTTTATCATGGAGCTCTGAGGGGATTGACTCATTTCTGAAACTGTCCTCTAGTGGTCGTTTGAGGAACTGCAGTTGTTTGAACTTACACTTTATTTCTCAACCCTGGAAGTAGCCACTCAGACAACTCTCATGTTTCAAAGAGAATTACACATTTTCTGTGACGCTTCAGCAGCACCGATATAAACAACACACCAGACAACAGACTCTAATATCTCATCTGTCTTGTGTGGCTTTGGATTTATGTGCAGCCTCAACTGGAGCCCAGCTCAGCAAACTGATCAAATCTGATCTAACAAAGCATTGTCAGAATTTATCTGTGGTCTGATCTGCTGTTGTACTAACCTGGCTTCACTCTGCAGGTATAAGGCCTTTGCGGCTTAACGGCATTGTGAAAACAAGTGCTTCAACTCAGTAGACGTATGTGGATTCAAAACAAAACCCTGCGGATGATATCACTCGAGGTAAGCTACTCAAACATCCATGGCAAAGAGGTCCTGCATTCTTCTGAAGAGATATGATCAGAGTTGAGGAAACTGTTTTTCACTGTTTAACTCAACCCACCAAGTCATCTGACCTTTCCGATCCAAAGCAAAAGACACCTGTCAAGACTTGATACGTGCAACCTTGAATGCAAGCTCTATTTGCATAACCGAGAGAAAACTGAATTTATGTCTCCTGCTCAATCTGAGAACTTTCCAGAGGAATTTCAAGCACTAAAACCTGGAGAGGAAATCCTCCTGTGCAGCTGTCTGTTGCTTCTTTTCCCCGAGTTTGATGAAAAATTAGAAGCAACTTGATTATACAATTCTAAGAGAAACCGCAGTGGGATTGTTGCTACTGCTGTCGTTTGTCTATTGCTTACAGT